GAGTTTGCCATCATTTTCTTATAGAATCGTAGGGCTTGGAAGGGACCTCTGTGGATCATCTGGTCCAACCCCCCTGCTGAAGCCGGGTCGCCTACAGCAGGCTGCACAGGACCTTGTCCAGGCAGGTTTTGAATATCTCCAGAGAAGGAGAAATCACAATCCCTCTGGGCAATCTGTTCCAGGGCTCCGTCACCCTTAGAGGGAAGAAGTTCTTCCCCATGTTCAGATGGAACTTCCTGTGCTTCAGTTTGTGCCCACTGCCCCTTGTCCTGTCCCTGGGCACCACTGAAAAGAGTCTAGTCCCATCCTCTTCACACTCACTCTTCAGATATTTATAAGGTCCCCTCGCAGCCTTCTCTTCTTCAGGCTGAACAAGCCCAGCTCCCTCAGCTTCTCCTCGTAGGAGAGATGCTCCAGTCCCCTCATCATCCTCACAGCCCTCCGCTGGACTCTCTCCAGTAGCTCTTCATCTTTCTTGAACTGGGGAGCCCAGAACTGGACACAGTACTCCAGATGGGGCCTCACTAGGACAGTGTAGAGGGGAAGGAGAACCTCCCTCGACCTGCTGGCCACACTCTTCTTGATGCATCCCAGGATGCCACTGGCCTTCTTGGCAGCCAGGGCACACTGCTGGCTCATGGTTAACTTGTTGTCCACCAGCACACCCAGGTCCCTCTCCACACAGCTGCTCTCCAGCAGGTCCGCCCCAAGCCTGTACTGATGCATGGGGTTGCTCCTCCCCAGGTGTAGGACCCTGCACTTGCCCTTGTTGAACTTCATCAGGTTCCTCTCTGTCCAACTCTGTCCACACCGCACTGAATAATACCTTTCATAATGTATTCTATTTTGTTACAACATTATTTTAATGCCTTGACCAGAATAAATATAAACTGTAGATTAAGACAAAACATAAAAGTTTTAAAGAACAAAAATTAGAAGGTACCAAAAAAAGGTCCAAACAGGACAATTTTTGATATCATGAAATTCAAACAATCTTGACCACAAGCTGTTTTTCCTTCAGAGACTGTTTCATCAGGATTTTCCTGTGAAAAGAGACTATTATCATCATTTTACAGATCACATACCAAAGTAAAAGAGATATTATGGCCAGAAGTATCCATTTTTTGGAGGGTGGGAAAGAAGAAGAGTAATTAGAGGCCTAGAACTTGACTTCAGAGAGTGCCTGGTGTTTGCACACTCAAAGCCCCAGAGCTCTCGCTGATTCCAAGTAAAAGCAAGCAAGCTGTTCAGCAGAACACTCACGCTGATCACTGGATTTTTCTGCTGTTCCTCTCTATAAAATGGGTGGTTTTGTAACGCTCAGCTTGCCTAGTATCACATAGGAACAAACAACCTAGGGGAGAAAGAACTGAATTCAATTCCCAAAGGCAGTATTTAGCTGCCTAAATTATAATACTTCCTGAAGTACATTCATTCCCCATCCATCATTTCAGCAATCAGGACCATGATTTTTCACTACGCAGCCATGACACTAAAATACACCCAGCCTGTACAGGAAGACAGAAATCTCACAGAAAACAAAGGGAGATGAGAGGTGAAGAGTGATTATAGGCTGTATAATGATCAGTGGCGCATGTGTATGGAAATTAAGATTGTACAGTTTACAACTCCGACAACTCCTAAATTTCAAGTATTCAACTTCAAATGGACACAACTACTTTAGAAGAAAACCACTTATACACAGTGTCCCAGGCTGCAAAAAGATGCTTGCAAATTAAATTCTCATGTGCCCATAAAAGGGACAGAAACATGCAGCTCTATAATCTCCTCTGCATTTTGAACTGATGCAGCATCTATTGACTGAGGGAGCTTGTTAAACTCTCACCGAACCAGCATCAGAGAGAAAATGAGTTGACTGAGCGGGTTTCATGGAGATTTCAGCAGCACAGATGCGCTGAGGTTCTACAGTCTCAGGAGTCTAGTCCACTTGCTGGAAAAGGGAGAAGAATGTCTTTATGGCTGCTAACATTTCTATAGGCAAAAGTCCAAAGCAGCACTATGCAGTCTGGCGAGTTGGTGGGCATTAGAGCATGAACACTTCATGCGGTGCACATCATATCGGAATAGTGAATGAGATGAGTGGATTACGCCAAGCAAGGGAATAATCAAAGTTCGCTTATTGGCTGAGTCATCAGTAAACAGAATATGATGAACTGAAGCAGTGCCGCAACCAGTGCTACCCTTCACATCTCAATGCACCTGGGCATGTTCCTCAGCAGTAAGAAACACTGCTGTCATGGCATCCATCTTTTCAGATGGACTTCCAAAGTCTGATCCTTTCTCTATCATCCTTCCATTTTGCCCTAGTTCTGCTTCTTCCTGATTTATCTCCTCGGTCTTCTTTTCTTTCCATGTTGGCATGTTTAACTTTCTACTTTGTATTCCTGTCTGGGGTGCAGTCTACTTGTCCAGTGAACGCTGAACAACTTTTCCCCAGTCCCGTATTTGACTATCTCCAGCTCCACCTGACCACCTATCCATCTGCATCTTCTCGTTCTGGCAGTGAAAACTGCCCTTCTTTTCAACTTTTGATTCAATTTGCTTCTCCAAACAGGTCTCCAGACCACCCAAATAACATCGCCAGCAGGACTTCTACTCCAATTCTTTCGTGAATGCCTTGCACAATCTCGGTGTATGATCCACATGCAATATGCTTCTTTATCTCCCTCATCCTTTTATCATCTTCTATCCCACGTACTCTGTCCAGGTGTTCACAGTTATTATTGCAGTTTTTGGCTTCTGCCCCAGTTTCTTTCATCCTGCCATGTTGTTTATAGTCACTCTCCCCACCACATTTAATGACTCTCAGATCTGTCATTTTCTTCCAAATTACTTGTTCAGTCAGTCTGCCCCCTCCTCCACTGGCTCTAGGTATCAGTCTACCCCTATATCTCCTCAGGAGTTCACACTATTTTCTGCATTTAGCTCAGACAGCTTTCCTTCTGTTATCTACCAGAAGAGGAGGAGAACACTCAGAATATAAGAGGAATAATTGAACAACGCAACAATACAAAGCTGCATTAAAGGAGAAATTCCACTGAATCCTAGATAGCTCACACCCATGTGAGGAATCAAATTTATTATTCTCTAAGGTTACAAATTGCTCAGTAGAATCCTACGAATCAAAACTAGGCCAAATTTAAGCAGACTTATACAGGAACAGACAGGTACCTTCCAAAACAAGGAAGCCCTTCTGCCAAATTTCAAATTGCTTCTCCTAAGTGTAAGGATAGTACCTATTTTAGTCTCTTTTCTTCCAAGTAATCACCATTTTTTTGCCCCTATTAAGTAAACAGTATAGGGTGGGGTTTTTTTTAGCCTTTAACAAAAACAAAGCAAGCAATTAGCAGAGCACATTTCTATTCTGCTATTAAAGGTTATTCCTTAGTGAATTCCTCAGCATCTGAAAAGAAGGCCTACTAACGGGAAGCATCAAGTTACCGGTACTCAGGTACAATTACACTACATTCACACTTTTAATAAAGGCAGTACCTAGCACATTCCCCATCTGCAGCTTTAGCAAATCCACATAGAAATGATCATCCATTATATCCTGGAACAACTTTTGTATAAATGCTTTTTGAGTTTCTTTCATTTAATTTGTGCTCTTGACTGCCTTCCAAGTCAAAAATGCATCATCCTTCTTACTCCCTTTTTTTTTTAAATTCACTTTGTACCTTTTCACTAGTGTCTGTAGGATCCTAACAGTTAAGTACTTAAAGATGGTTTAACTTGCTTGCGCTAACATTCAAGTATCTACTTGTATCGTGCTTTATCTCTTTTGGACAGTAAGTTGAAAGCATTACCTAAAATTATGCTCTAAAATTTATAGTAGCTTTAGGAAAAGTGGACAGATGGCTACCAACATTCCATATTTTTCTTATCTTCTGTTATTTTTGGAAATTGTTTCCATGTGTTAACAAGTATTGAACAGGGGTAAGAAAAATACTTTGAGATTTCAGTCGATTTCTAAGATCGCCATACTTAAGGAAATCCATGACAACTGTTTGATTTTGGAATTACACAACTTCTGTGTACAACACCATCTTACAGGTTTTCACACTGATTTCAAATTTAGTGCTTTACTGTCAAAAGGTGCTGATACTACATCAGTAAATTATGTGCCAGGATTTTCTCTAGAATATCAGGCATTTCTCAAAACAAATTGCAATTCATTGATTGAAAAAAGTTACCCATTTACAGGTACTAGTAAGACACAACAGCAAGAACAAGATGAAAAGCCTATCACATTAAATAATTTTAATCTTAACCTGCAGCGTACATAACATTTACATTTATCCCACCTAAAAAGTATATCAGAGTTGCAATAGTTGTAATCTTTGTAGCTAAAACAACATCCAGAAATGCTTATTTTTCTGAATAAGTGCTGAACAACAAATGCTATTGCACGAAATTATATAAAGCTATATGAATAACTGGTATCTTGTCATACAATACTACTTAGTAACCATACATAAAATACGACATACTTTAACAGTCTTTCTTTTCTGGTGCATTTTTAAAGGTTCAGCTTCAACAGGGAGAAAAACATATTCTGAAAACATCTTCAATTTCTATCAGTTTCGGAGTTTTACATATGAAATGTTAATATAATATAAAATTAAAAGTAACTTAAAATAAACCTTCTGTTGATGTTGCTTTAAGACTAATTTTTAAAAACGCAGAAAATAACCTGTGAATCTTTTTATCAAGAGCAACATGATGGCAAAGGAGTACACAAACTTTAAAATAAAACTTCCAGAGATTAATTTTTCAGGAGTGCTTAAGGACTTAATCTTACCCTCTCCAAACACTGCAGGTGATGTATAACGGGCACACTAGAGAACAAGGAGGAGTGAAATCTGAAACTCTGGTACTGAGATATAGTTCTACCTCCAAAATCCCCATATTAAAAAAAAAACAAACAGTAAATCAACAGAAAAAATTATCTTACTAGACAAAAGTTATTTCTACAGTACCTTCAGGGGTGATAGCACTAGGACACACATCTTTTAGCAGATCTCCCAAAGTATGCAACTGTCCTCCTGAAGCAATTGGTCGAAATAGCTTCTGTATAAAAGGTCTCTCTGTTGTTGCCTGTTTTAATAACAAAATCAGCAAAACCAACAATTTAAGGACCATGCAAATATGCAGTATTACCATTTCAGGCACACAAAAGATAGGATAGAACAAGAGGTTGCAGCAGAAGCAACATCTGGCATTTGCATTTCCCCCCCCATTCATATCATGAAATGCAGGGGAATTTGTTAACAATTGAAAGTAAGTTGACACTCCAGAAAACTGTGCTGATAATTTATAAACAGTGTCCTGGATATAGAAGTGTTAAATTCTTTTTTTATTCTTTAAATTTAAAATAAAACCCTTCTGTTACGGGGATAGGATCTGCTTGAACAAAACATTTCAATACATTTTTAAGTAAAACAAGCAGTGAGCACAAAGTCAGGAGCTCAACATACACCTATATGTTTTACCAAGCCAAAGCAATACTGTAACAAACACCCAATAACTTCTGCAATAGTCTATCTTTCTCCTTTTAGAAACACTTTAAGCACTTTCAATGGCAAACAAGTACCCTTATAGCTCAAGCCAGGTGATTTTTTTCCAGAAGATTTTCTGTTGAAAAATTCAAACTATTTCTGCTGCAAGCAACAGAGCATAACTAAAAAAAAATTTGTGCTTTTGACAGACAACCTAGAGTCTTCTGCCTACTTAAGGAATTAGATGTAAAGAACATGCATGCCCCACTTTTGCTGCAGATATGCACAGGAATTCAGGATTATTTCAACTATGGGTCCTGTTGGATCTTTCATGTCATCATAATTTCTTTTGGAGACGAAAAAAGCAAATCGTAAAAAAAAAAATAATTAGTTACTGCCAGTCACTGTCCACAACATAGGCAATAAAATTCCCAACACTGCAGAAGAAGCAAAGTAGTTTACAGAATCTACAGATGCACTTATTTAAGAACTGTGGTTATGTTAAGGTAATCCCCTTTGAGTATCTGTACAAGCAACCCCAGGGTCAGCAAGCATCCAATATTGAAAGGACAGGAAAAGGTTTTTTCCCTGACAATCTGACCTCTCCTCCCAAACTGGGCACCTGAGACAGAAAACAGAAGTTGAAAATCTCATATTTAACCAACCCAAAAGTTTTAATCAAGCTCTAAACTGTTGCTGACAAATTTCTGCTAGCAGCTAACTCCAGAAAGCAGCCGATGTGGCCTTCATTACGGGGTGATTGGGCTCCAGTAAATTACACTTTCATCACATACTATCTTAATTGGAAAAAAGCAAGACAAGCCACTGCCCCTTCCAAATTTAGTTTCCTACCACTCAGAAAGCAGTTCCTGTCCTACTACAGTGATTACAAAATAGAAACAAAACAACACAACTCAACACCAAGAAGTACTTTATCTCCTTGTGGAGGTTTTTGGAAAAAAAAAAAACCCTACAAGTATAGTAAAAAGTTTGAAAGTTAAAAGTTAATTTTGAAAGGAAGTTACAATGTGGTCTCTGTCACCCACTGACATGAAAAGCTACATGCAGTAGATTAACTATGACAACCTAATTGTCATTCACCTCTCTGAAACAGCAGGGAAGGAGTCTTTTTGTAAGAGCGGCACACTGCCTCAAAGGAATTCCAGGGCAGCACAGTGCAGAACTGTTGACACACAGCTACTTGCTACTTCTTGCCAACAGTCTCCAAAAATGGAAAAATAGTCTTCTTCCAGTCTTATGAAGACTGATCCAGCAAGAGCTGAGTAGCTGCTGTAGTCAATTCTCAATGTCCTCAGGGTAGCAGAATGTGGATACAAACAGCACTAATGAAATGTCTGAAAATTTGAAAAATGATGGGATGCACAGGCCAGCAGGATCCACCTCAGACAGATCCACACTTGGGAAGTGAACTCTGGCACATTGTACTGAAGAAGTGTACCCCCAAAACATACAGAAAAAAGACAAAAACCCTAAAACATCATCACAGCCAAAACAATTTTCTACCGAGTTTCTTTAAAAAAAGTAATCAATTATTCACAACAGTCTAATCACAGCTCCCAAGTGCCTACCATCTGAAGTAGTAGAAGTAGAAATAAACACCAGAAGGATGATCAAGACTTTTAAGATAAGAATTTCCCAAGTGCATACTGCAGTTTCTCATTATTTATTAATAAATTACAATCAATTTTTTTCCTAGTTATCATAATTTAACGCCAGGAGGGAGAAGCTGAAGATGTATTTTCTAAAATCTCCCACATAGTTGCTGACTGCTGCAAAGCAATTTCCTCAGCTGCTATCATGAAACATTATAGAAAATGAATTCCATTTTATATTTTAAGTGTCAAAAATACAGATGTGGTAATGTAAATAAAAATTACTGGTCTCCATCAATGTTAAAATGATAAAAGTAACTGCACGGTGTTTATACAAAGACTGTGGTTCACAAATATAATCCTACAGGCAGAGTATTACCCCAACATGCTTACATTTCTTCCCTCCCATGCAGCAGATGCTTTACGCACAGGAAGAGTCAAAAGTCCCATCTTGCAATCTAGAAGGTTTATAGGATAACTTCTCAAAGTATCTTAGTCATACAGGAGCACAAATCATTCCAGAAAAATCTTTCCATCACCCCTTTTGAAGTGCGATAGCTAGTAATATAAGCCCAACTTGACTACAACTTTCTACTCTAGTATTCACTACACCACCACGTGAAAGAATAGCCAACAGGAGTAATTGCTTACATAATGTGTTTTTTACAATATTTGCTTAATCAATCATGCAAAACAGTACTATCTGTAATCTAACCCACGAAGACATCACTGCGTAACTGTTAACTGACAACGGTTTTAAATAATCTACACCAGGCCAAAAGCATGTATTTATACAGTGCCATTGGGTTTTCCTATAAGATTATCATCGCTTCAACAGAATATAGCGCTTTTAAAATTACTTTATTTTACAGTCTAGCCCCAATGTAGCTGTGAGCTGTTCAAAACATGCTGGATGCATTTGCAGGATACAACAGGTGAGAGTCAATCAGTAATTGCTGATGACAGACCTACAAAGGAAATGCTTTCAAGTGCATGAGCATATGAAGACCATCACCCCGCCCAAAATTTGCAGTGCATTTTACACTGATCATGTCCACAGTTCAGTATCAAGTCATCAAATGTTCATGAAAACAAATATTCAACTCAAAGTTAACATATTTTCTAGAAAGTTGAACTTTCTTATTCCAACTGAAATGTCTCCTTCTCTACTCCTACATAGAACCACTAATCTTGTGCTTTGCAGAACAAATGAAGACTTTACTCTTTTCAAAGAAAGTTGAAACAATAACAGGGATAGGAAAGTGACAGTGAAAACAAAATTACACTACAGCAAGAAAATATAGATTAAAATTACCTATTCAGGTATACTGGCACTGAGAAGAGTTATAGGTGAGGGAAAGTTTTAAGAAGCCGTTTAAGGCAGCATAAAGCTTCACAGGATCAGAGACAAGCTATGTAGTTACATATTGTGCTAGCAGTTATAACTCTTTTTCTTCCCTATCATCCTGCCAAAAAAAAGAGTAGCAAGCTTGCCTGGTCCTTTTCTGAATCAACAGAACATCAAACACTGCATGAAATCCACAATTTAATTAGTCAGACATTTTATACAGGATGCATCATAAAATGAAAAACATAACTCATGATGTGCTGGGTTTTAATCTGGAAAAATTGGAGTTACCAGTATTTCCATCTAGAGGAAGTTACTTGGATTTTCTGCGTCAACACTCTGCTGCTACTCTAACAGTATTCAAACAAATAAAAGTTACCATACACATTGAACCCACAAAGTAAAAAAAAAAAAAAGAATTCCTTACAATTCTCACACGTGCATAAGCTGGCAGCCTAAAACTGTAAAACTTGAGAATTCCCTACACACCCCATCATATTTTCAGTAACTTGTCAAGTTCATAGTCTTTGCTGTTTTGTAATGAACTACTTCACACTAAAAAACTCTCAATTTAAATTTATCATTTTGTTTAAACTGATTTAAACTCAACCAAGAAGCTTTAAAAGTAATAATACGAGTTTGTGTAATGATTTAATTTTATATAAAAATGAAAGTACAGGAAAATTAACTACTCTCCGAAATTAAAATTAATTATACAAATTTTCTTAAGTATTTACTCAAAAGTACATTTTCCATATATTTTCTAAGATGTCTTCTGCTTTGTACTGATGTTTTCAATTAAAAATCTCCATGCACAATAAAAAGTGACTAATTGAAAAAATGAGAAATTGCTGTAGTCACCAAACCATCACAATAACATGCCTGTCTGAAAGCAAGATGCTGCTAAGCCCCATCTGAAATACCGCTCTTTCACTGGTGCTGAAATGCAGTATTTCTGCTGGTATTTCTGGAGTGTGTAGCTTTGGCTTCTTTTTGCTTAATATTAGACCAGAATCACCAAGTACTTCATTGTGGAAAAGGCACAAGGAATGTTCCTGGTTTTTTGTTGCATTTTTGTTGTTGTTGTTTTTAAAAACAGACAACTCCACTCGCTAGAAACTAGACAGGCAGGTTATCAGACTGAAGGATTAAATGGAAGTGGCAGCCAAGACTGAAAATAACCAATAAACTCAGGTAAGAATTTGTGTCAGAATAGGAAAGAACTATTTCTGGGTGTGTAGAAAAAGCAAGTTCTGAGGACCTAGCCTAAGGTGGCTCTCCTGAACCTGGCCTACCTCTTGTCCCAAGTTTTACGATTTTGATAACATTATCTACAGTTGCTTCAACTGCTGCGTATTTTGACTTCCATTCAGAAACTAGTCACATATTAAGAGAGATTACTTGGCTTTTAAGCTCATTTCATATATCCTGATACCTGCAGAGTAAGGCCAATAGAAACACTTGACTGGCTTCTGGAAAAAATCACCAGTGAATAAAAAAATACCACATCAGAGAGCTTTTACATATGTAAACAGCTAACATTCGATGACCACAAAACATTCGATGACCAAAACAAGCCAGAAAGGCAGCCTGTGCAACAAATAGCATCAGCGATATAGGAGCGAGAAGAACATTTGA